GACTGGGTGGATGACACCCCTGAATTTCAGGCCTCACCCCTGGGGCTGCCCTCAGACACAGTCCGGTGACCCCTCAGTGCCCCCCCCCCAGTATCTGTCCGGTCTGTTGTGTCTGAGGGGCAGGGCCACCTCTCAGTTGCCACCCTGCCTGGGGAGGGACACATAGTGACTCAGTCTATGAAAAACATGCCACCTTTGTGTCTTAATTGTGGTCAGCTTCTTGGCAGCCCACCTTTGCCTCTCCAGAGGGAAGATGGGTCCTTCTGGCATCAGCGTCTTCAAAATCTGCCCCCACAGCTTTGTGTCACCCTTAGCTGACCCTGTACATCGTCTCATCAGACACCGTGTCGACCAGCGACTGAAACAGCTCCAGCTCAGGCCACGTGCCCCTTGGCTCGTTGGTGGGGGTCAGGTGGGCCTTCACGCCCCCACGGGGTCTGGCTGGAACCCTGACGGGCTCTGCCCCACCCCATGGTCCTGCGTAGCCCAGTAAGGTGGGCCCCCGACTGGGGTGGGGAGCGCCTTGCAGGAACCGTTTCCGCCTGCAGAGGGCTGTGTGGACCCCGGGGGTCGCTATCAGGCGCTGCCTGTGTTTGTGAGACTGCCTCGTTTGTGAACGCTGAGCTGCGTGTCGTCACCCGCTTGCCTGCGGCTGTCCTCAGGCCAGCTCAGAGCTGACCCTCGGCCCCCACTGCAGCCCTGCTCACACAGCCCTGCTCTGCAGACGCAGTTGTTTCCCGAGCCACCACTGTCCTCGGTGACTCCTCACCCCTCGCTGTCGGGTGTCAGGTTAGAGCCATGCCCCACAGGGTTCTCGGTGGCTGTTGTATTCAGAAAGATCGCCAGGCCTTTGTTCCAGGGCGCCTCTGGGTGGACGTGAACCTCCAGCCTTTGGATCCGTAGCTGAGCACATTGACTGTCTCCTCCTCGGGGAAGAGATGATCAACAAGGAATGGTCGCAGCTAGTGGGGCTGAGCTGGGGGCTCTCCTACTTCACCCTGGTGCTAGGGCTGCGGGGTGGGGGGCGCAGGGGTTCATTCCTCAGGAAAGGAAGTTGGGCTGAACAAGGCTAAGTCACGTGGATTAGTGTCCCAAGGCTGCTGAAACGAAGGACCACTAGCCAGGGGGCCTCAAAGCAGCAGGAAGTCACCACCTCCCTCAAACTCTGGAGACCAGCAGTCCAAAATCAGGGTGCCGACAGGGCTGTGCTCCCCAGGGCTCTAGGGGAGGCTCCTGCTTTGGCCTCTGAAGGTCTGGTGGATCCTGGCCACCCTTGGCCTCCTTGGCTTCTGGCAGCAGTGTTCCAGTCTCTGCTTCACACAGCGTCCTCCCTCTGTGTGTCTGTCTGCCTTCTTTTACAGGACACCACCCATACTGGATTAAGACCCAGTGTGTCCTCATGTTAATAACTGATTAAGAATTCCCTTACTCTCCAAAGGTTTTATTCAACCTTGAATTATATGCAACAGGATAGGAAGTTAGATGTATGTTTCCTAGTGTGAGAATTGCTTTTTACTAAGCTGTATGTTGATTTTTTTTTTTTTTTGCTTTCTGGACTATAGATATCTGGAAGAACAAAGATGAATCTTGGAATTTCCCCCAGGACTATGATCCAGAACTCATCAAACAGGAGAAACGGAGAGAGTTAGAGTCAGAGATCAGGGTGCAGGTATTACTACATTTATGTCATAGTAGGAGCTCTGGTAGCATAGTGCCTAAGGCACTTGCCTGCTAACCAGAAGACTGGCGGTTCAAACCCACCAGCCACTCCTTGGAAGGAAGATGGGGCAATCTATATCCCTAGTGATACTGCCTTGGAAACCCAAGGAAGGGTTGCTATGAGTCGGGTCCAACTCGACAGCACAATAACAACAATGGCAAGTCAACAGCTGCAGAGATGTGCTTTTGTTACAATTTCCTGTTAATGACCTTAACTTCAGCTATTTTTAAGCTTCGCCAAGAACAAACGTGGCAGCCAAAGTCACTGAAGAGTGGTGTGTATTTTGTATTCACCTAGGTTGATGAATTGATGAGGCAGGAACTGAAAAATTTAAAGCTCGCGGTGGACAGAGAAAAGGAGTTACCAGCCAAAGCAGGAAGGAAAAGAGGTAAAAAGGTGAGTTGGGAATGATCACGAGAGAGGTGGCAGATTCCCGTGGCACCAAGAAGCCCAGCCCGTGCAGCCAGCGGCAATGGCCAAGAGAGCCACCGGAGAAGACCAGCTGGCCACCCCAGAATGCCTTTCAGGACTCATCCCTCCCCGGTGGGGTGAGTTGGCCCACCACTCAGCTCTCAGGGTTCTACTCTCAGAAAGTGCAGGGAGTCAACAGCCTGCTCCCACGACTGCAAATGCACATTGTCCAAGCCCTGGGATGAGATGGGAACAGTCTGTCCCTGCAGTTAGATCAGGGCATCAGTCAGTGGGCGGATGGTAGAGAGCTGACGTTGAGTCAAGTCGACTCGACTCCTGGCAACCTTGTCTACAGGAGACCGAAACGGTCCTGCTTCGTCCTCAGTCAGCGGCGTGTGCAGTCCATTAGCCCGTCCATCTCCCAGAGGGTCTCTTCTCCTTCACTGGCCCCCTGCTTCACCAGACAGGACGTCCCCTCCAGCACTGGGTCCTTCCTGATGCACCCAAAGCAGGAAGCTGGACAGGCCTGCTGGGTCCCCGGGCCCTCACTGGCTGGTTCTCAGCCCTTTCTTCCCGGTCTGTCTGCATCTGGGAGCTCTGCTGAGCCTGCCCACCATGGGGGACCCTGCTGGCATTGAAACACCAGCGGCGTAGCCTCCAGCACCACAGCCACGTGCTGCCACAGGACGGACGAGTGCTGGAGTCGGAGCTGTAGGGAGGCCAGTGGCAATGGGCAGTTCCTTGGGCCGGTCAGAGCAGAAGGAGTTCAGGGAGCTGAACTGTAACCTGGCACCAGAGGCGTCCCCCCCGGACACAGAGCAGCCAGTCGGCTCAGACTGTTCAGGGCTCGTGTACGAAGGCACTGCCTCCACTTCTGCCCCAGAGGTAGCCCGTCACTGGGGCCAGAATGCTCAAGGAGGGGGACCAGGCCTCCTCTCCCTGAATGGCACTGCCTGAGCTGAGACAGCCCAGTGGCTGATGGCCCTTCTTATAGTTGACACATCTCTGTGGCACTGTTCATACAGTCAGCTGGATTAGGGTCTAGTTTTGCCAGCCCAGGGGCCTTGGGGTCTCTTCACAGTGACTCTACGATGATCCCTTGCGTTCTGATTTTCCAGTTTAACTCTGAAGGCAATGGAATTCCCCTCCTGGCCCTGTTATCAGGACATCCCCTGGCGAAGGTCATTCCAAGGTTAATTTCGGCCTCATGGGGTCACCTGTTGCTGCCCCCCTTTTAGTGCATTGTTGTTGCCGCCGCCCCAAGTCAGCTCTGACTCACGGCCCCCATGTGTGCAGAGCCTGCCTAGTGCCGCGTGGGCTTTTCAAGGCTGTGACCTTTGGGAACAGACAGGTGGGTGGTTTGAGCAGAATCATGGGGAGGTCAGAGCAGTCGTGAAAGGTCACATGGGGAGCACATTGCTGCAGGCCATCCCAGGGCCTCAGTCAGAGCCCTTGGGAGGTGGAGGTTAACAGGGGGAGTGACTGGGCCCCAGAGGCAAGCCAGAGTCCTCCGTGTGCACGTGGCACCCCGCTCTGCACAGACCCTGCACCTGCGCCAAGGAAAAGCCAGATCACAGACTCGGTGGGAACCAGCCCCGTGTGGGGCCCACAGGGGAGACCTCGCCCTCTGTCTACGGGTGTGGCCTTCTCATCACCCAGGGACTTTGGTGCCAACTCCTGTCCCCATGGAAGCATGGCACCACCACGTTCAGGGTGCCACGGTTCTTTCACCTTCTCCCCACCCACGCTCCACCCCAAAAAGCTTGTTCAGCTGATGCCTGGAGCCAGTTTGCTTCCTTGTTTTGACTCAATGGTTGGGTGTCCCCATCTTCTTTCAGAAAAAGAAAGGGAAGAAAGGAAAAAAGGGGAAAGACAAAGACTTGACCGCTAACAGGTAGGGGTGCGCTCATCTCCTTGTCAGGAAGGGGCTAAGGGAGCCCTGGGGGGGCGGGAGGATGGCAGAGGGAGCCCTGAGTCGCAGCGTGTCCTCGCGGAAGACACATGTGTGCGAGTGGTGTAACACGGTGCGGGGAATCAGCGGCAGCGGAGCTGACGTCAGTGCATGGCGACCCCCGTGTGTCAGAGTAGAGCTGCCGCCGTCAAGTCGCCTGCACCACAAGGTGGCCGTGGCTGGTTTTTCAGAAGTCGATCACCAGGCCCTTCTTCCAAGGCACCTGGGTGGACTTGAACTTCCAACCTGTTGGTTAGCAGCCGAGCATGTTAACCATTTGCAACTCTAGAAGCTCCGTCAGCCACACTGCGCAAGAGCTGACACCCTACACCTGCCACGAGGACAGCCCACGAGGACAGCCCAGAACCAAACGGGCCTTCATGCTTCTGAGTTCACCTGACTTCTTGTGTGTTTGTTTTAAAACCCAGAAGTTTTCCTAAACTTTTAGGAAATACTGTCCTGACAAAACTTCTCAGGAAACACCCAGACACTGAGTTCCTGAGGGCAGAGAAGGACCTGTTTCCCTGTGCGCCCCGGGCCCAGCCCATGGGGGCCTCAGAAGCAGGTGCTAAACGGAGCCAGGCTGAGGATTTAGTCTTTTAAAGGAAGGTCTGCTTTGCGCTTCGTTGGCCAAACTCTAGTCCTAACAGATCGTTTTCAGTGCTTGTCGTTTTCCAAGCTGAGATGGCCATCATGTGCTTGAACATTGGAGAGAAAGAATGCCTAGGTTTTCAGATCTTTCCAAGGAATTTAATTAAAATCCCTAATGTATGTGAACTCTAGTGGCATCATGCCTAAGGCATTTGACTGCTAACCAAAAGGTTGGCAGTTCAAATCCACCAGCCACTCCATGGAAGGAAGACTGGGCAGTCTACTTCCATAAAGATTTACCACCTCGGAAACCCAAAGGGGGTCCTGTGAGTCAGAACCGACTGGATGGCAGTGAGTTTGGGTTTTGGTTAATGTATGTGAGAAGTCATTTTGACCGTAGGCCTTTGTGGATTTTGTCGATGGTCACTGTGGTGATGTGCTTGCGTATTTTGGGGTGCTTGCTCACCCCACTTGGGTCTCAGCAGTACACTTGTGAGATGCTGGAGAGAAGATGCAGGTCAGAAACCCCCAGAATCACTGTGACAGAATCTGTTTACTGTGCATAGATACAACTCAAATTGGGCAACATCAACCCAGAGGTGTGGACCAGGCGCTCAGAAGAGGGCATAGTGAAAGTGGGTTCTGTGGGAGGGTCTGGGCAAGGTGTCTCCAAAGGCCATTGCAATTCTCCAAAAGAGCCCAATGCCTAAGACAACATGGTCTTCACAAAGCTGCTCATGAGGCCATTGCACTTGAGGGTAACGTTAGAACAATTCCATACAGGCTCGGGGTTCAAAAAGACGCTGAAGGCCACATGACCTGGATAAGTCATCCCAACTCTACACCAGAAATCTGGATTCCAGGAGAATGGAAACAGTTTCTCACAGGACAGAGGAAAGCCACAGTCAGCTTAGACATCTGAGGGGAAACAGCCAAGTGCTGAGCCCAGCAGAGGTTTGCAGACGTCTTGACGGCTCGTAGCATCTCCATGTGATAGAGTGGAACTGCCCACAGGGTCTCCAGGGCTGTCAGTCTTCACAGAAGCAAAGCCCAAACCACACCCACTGCTGTGTAGATTCTGACCCACAGCGCCCCTAGAGGACAGAGTGGAACTGCCCCACAGGGTCTCCAAGGCTGTCAACCTTCACAGAAGCAAAGCCCAAACCACACCCACTGCCTGGAGTCCATTCTGACCCACAGTGCCCCTAGAGGACAGAGTGGAACTGCCCACAGGGTCTCCAGGGCTGTCAATCTTCACAGAAGCAAAGCCCAAACCACACCCACTGCTGTGTAGAT